CCGCCTCAGCAGCAGCCGCAGGAGCCTCGCCCGTGGCCGCCCCCGTCGCCACCGGCAGCCCAACAGCCACCGCCGTGTCCCCGAGAGGGGCGCCGCCGCCACCACCGTCGCCCTCGGCCTTGGGAGGAGCGGGCGATGGGAACGGAGGGAGGCTGTGCGAGAAACACCGGCAGGTGCTCCAGTTCTTCTGCGAGGAGGACCAGGCGCCGATCTGCGCGCAGTGTGACCGGTCCCAGGAGCACCGCGCTCACAGCATCTTCCACGTGGAGAGGGCAGCCCGAGACTACCGGGTAAGAAGAGGATGATGGGAACCGAGACAGTGTCGGGAAATGCCCCCTCAAATGTGTTGTTCTCTTGTCCCACTCTCATCCGATCTTCTTTTAGAGCGGACGCGCAAAAAAATTAAGTAACAGGATGATGAATCATAGAATAAAAGAGTTGGCAAAGGGTTGTAAGCCGGCAGGTATCCCAGTCAAAGCAGATCTGACAGAAGGTTGGGCTTGAGAAAATGGCCTCTGTTTATCTGCTGTGTGCATTAGGGCTTGTTCTTGGTTGTTCTCCTCCTAATGTCCTGTCTGTCCTGTTTCTATTTCATCTTTCACATGATAAATTGGTGGGCACAATTAAGGGAATTTTCCAGTTTTCTAGCATAATGCTGAATGGCATTTTTGGATGTGACAGTACCTCTGATTTTAGTTTTTTTTTTTTCATTTTTGGTGGATGTGGGTTACAAGAACTGGTTTCAGCTTTAGGGTGGTCAGCAAGAGATTAAAAATTGAAATGAGGCTTAATATATCAGTAATACAAAACCTATTCTGAATAAAATCATTTAAACATGATTCTAGTTATTTACTGCTTGGTTATATTTTGCCATTCTCACAGGCAGGAGCTGTGTAAAATGTGCATTTAACATTTAGAATGTTCCTATCTACTTAGAAGAGTGATGCCCTTTTAAGTGTCATGGCTGTATACTTTGGAATCCTGGGACCTGTAGTTTGGGAGGTAAAGATTCATAGAGCCCTTTTGTTGTTCTCTGATCTACTGAGAATTCTGAACATCCGACCAAAAAAAGAAAGAAAAAAGCAAAGTGTGCTGCTTATATACCACCTATAGCACTTAAAGCACTCTCTGGGCAGTTTATAGTTTAATTATGCAGATTGCACATTCCCTGCCCTCCCCCTTTCCAAACTGGGTACAGTGGTGCCTCGCTTAATGATTACCTCGTTAAACAACGAAACCGATGTTTTGATAGGGGAAATCACTTAACGATGATCGGTTCCCTGCTTCGGATTTTTCGCTAGACAATGATTTTAAAACAGCTGATTGGCGGCTCTAAAATGGCTGCCCTGCTGTGCAAAATGGCTCCCTGCTGTGTTTTAGGATGGATTCCTCGCTTTACAGGCACCAAAAGTGGCAGCCCTATGGAGGATCTTCGCTGGACGTTGAAGTATTTAGCCCATTGGAACGCATTGAACCGGTTTTCAATGCATTTCAATGGGCTTTTTCGTTTCGCTTGATGAGGATTTCGCTTAACAGCGATTTCAACGTATTTCGCTTAACAGCAATTTCAACAGAATGAATTATCCTCATCAAGCAAGGCACCACTGTACTGATTTGCCAGCCTCTGAAGTATCCTTGGCTGAGTCAGCCTTGAGCTGGCTACCTGAATTTGCTGGGATGGCTTTCAAAATTTTTAAGAGGTGGGTGTAAATTTATGTATCACAAAATGAGTCTTCATAACTTATGCTTTAATACAATAGTTCTCCACCTTGGGTAAATCAGGTGTTTTTTTTATTGCAATTCCCAGAAACGGTGGCCAGCACCTTCAATGATGAAGCCTTCTGGGAGTTGCATTCAACATCTGGGTTACCCAAAGTTGGGAACCACTGCTTTAGCATACAAGCTTATGATGAACCTTTGGCACTACAGCTGTTTTTTGACTGCATGACTTGAGAGGACTTACGGTGAAAGTGCGGAAGCAGGGCTGCAGTTGAACATTAAAAAGACAAAACAGAAGAACTGCACAGCTTTAATGTTGGCAATGATGAATTTGAAATGGTTGAAGATTTTGTACAGTTGGCCTCAACCATCAGTACAAGTGGAGACTGCAACCAAGAAATCAGGAGAAGACAAAGTATTATGAATAGGAAATTGGATTGGTCATAATAGAAAGTAACAAAGTTAGTTAAGGAGTTAGTTAAGATAAGACCGGGCCAGTGGAAACATTGGGGGGGGGGAAGAGAAGATTGTTTTGCTGTCAAAGATACTTGACTTGTGCAAGAAAAGTGGAAAGGGCAGACTGCTCTGTGTAGAGAAGAAATAGTTCTTTGAATTAGTAAGCTACTAGAAGAAGAACTTATGAACACGGTCAACAAAAATCAGAAGAAAACAGCCATGGAAGATGTGATCTGGGAATTATGAGGAAGCAACTGTAGGGTGAAGGACCCCAAAGTTGCAAAAAAGGAGGAGAACGGCAGCCCTTGGAGAGATCCCCACAGAAACATCAAGGTGTGCCTGTGTCCCCCATGCCCAGCCAGCAACAGTAGGGGACATAAATGTATATGAATAGATATAATTTATTCAAAATTAAACTAGATAGCATTAGAAATTCAGTTGGTCTCTTACATTCTTTCTCTGATGTATCACCCTATGAGAAGTTGTAAAGAACCTTACAAAATTTTTAACTTGAGATTTAGAAGGTCTGCAATGAAAGAATTAAAAAAAATGTTCTCAGATGTAAGGACATGTCGTTGGAGATGAAGGCCAAGATCATTCACACTATTGTATTTCTAACAGTTATGTATAGATGTGAAAGCTGGACAGAGCTGTTTCTGTGGCTTTTTTTCTTTTCGCAGTGTAGTGTTTGTTATGTTTAGGTTCAGAAACTTTGGATATGACACTGGAAATAGTAAATAAAATCCACAAGAAATTGAGTTCTGGGATGTGGGATTGAGGGAAGAACCTGAGCATGTATTTCAAGGCTACTGTGAGGCATTCTTAATTGAATAAAAGCTGTTTAGATCATCACAGTTTGTTCTATTATTGTTTTTGTTGCTATATTTTTTCTGTCTCATCAAATTGAACTGAGACATGCACTGAATACAATGCTTGTTTATTAGGGATATACCTGAATCCAGTCTTTGACCCTATAAATTTTGGAGGCACTCCAACCCATGCCCTTGTCTGGATCCTTGATGATACTTGTACCTTTTAAAGATCTCTATGAAAAATGCTATTCTTCTGAATCTGGAAACATAAATGACTATGAATTTGCGGCAGAGGGGAGAGAGAGTGCCTCAGTTTCAGGGGATTGTAGACTGGGTTTAGTGTAGTGGTTCCCAACCTTGGGTAATTCAGATGTTCTTGGACTGCAGCTCCCGGAAATCTGAGCCAGCACAGCTTGTATGAAGGTTTCTGGGAAATAAAGTCCCAAGAATACCTGGGTTACCCAAGTTAGGGAACCACTGGTTTAGTATGCTGTATTGATGACTAGTCATGGGAAGTTTTTTTATTTCTTAGACTACAAATCCCATAATTCTTCCTTCCGAGAGTTCTGCCTGACAGACCCACAGCTGCAGTCACCTAAATGTATCTCATTAGAAGAAAATGCCTAGTTGGGAAGGTTTTGTGGATTAGTGCCAAGTTTGCTCTAGCTTCCTTTTCAGAAATGAAGCTGTCTAACTGCTAGTTCCAGAAAACCACAGGTTGTGTAGTCCAGGCACAGGGAATTGCATTCCTATCTTTTGGCTACAGGTTTTACACTCATGATTCTTTTAAAAGAAAGCAGACACCTTGCTGCCCAGAGGTGGGGACACAAATCGTGTCTGTCCTGCACAATATTTTCATGCTAGTGTGTGGGCTCCCAAGCTGTTGTTACCTGTAATCTTCTCCTTCCTGTCTGAATCCATGTTTTATTTGCTCAGGAGCGGGTTCTGGCGCAACTAGAGATCTTGAAGCAAGAGAAGAACTTGCTGTGGAATCAGAAACTGACTGGAGAAAAGAAACTACAGGGATATATGGTAAGTACCCTTATCCATCAAAGGCAGAGGCACAGGGCATGAGGGTGGGTATGTTTAGCTCTTGATAGTCCACTTGTCCTCATAGTTCACATTCCTTTTAACTTGAAGGCTGTCAGGCTTCCTGCCTCCGCCTACAGTGTAATAAATGGGAATACTGGTAAAAGACTATAGAACCTGATGTGGCCAATCTTAGGGTGATTACAGTGCTTTGTTTTCTATAGCCAATCTATATTAGATGTTCTTTCACTTTTGAGGACTTAAATTCTACTGTAAAACAATAATATCTATAGTTGCTCTATCAAGTGACATGTTTTATTCATGTTTTTGACTACTAGTGGAATATTGTGTGGCAATTAGTTGACAATCTAAACAAATACTCTGATTTCATCCTGCAGCACATTTTGTCCATGGCTGGTCCCCATGTGTTGGACGAGTGGGATGTTTGTCCTGGATAGCAGCCCTCAAAGGGTGCTGTGCAGGTTCCTTTTTCTGCTCTCGCCCCCTGTTGCCTCCAACCAGGCTGGCTAGTTTGCCAGATCCAGAGATTGAAGAAACTGGGTTGAAGATGTTAGATACGAGCAGGACATGCTCCAAGTTATCAATACCTCCCCAAGAGGGGGAGGCAGCAACGCTATGGGATAACAGGGTAGGGGGAGGGAAGTAATGTAAAACCTGTGGGGTTAGAGAATGCTTTGCTCCAAACACGTCTTTGGTTGTTTTGATTCTACCTCCCTTGTCAGTCTGCTGTAGTTCCATACCTTGTGTCTGTGTTATTGCCCATGCAGTTTTCCAAATTCAAGCAGCTTGTTTTGATTATCATTTTTTTAGAGCGTTAACATTCTTATGTACCACTGAAACAACTCTCTGACATCTTTTGTTACTTTGCCTGTGGTTGTTTCAGGAAAAGATTGAAGCAGAGAGACAGGAGATTGTCTCTGAATTTGAGCGCCTGCACCAATTTCTGAAAGATCAGGAGCAGTGCCTGCTAACCAAGCTGGAAGAACTAGACAAAGAAATAGAGAAGCAGAAAGATGAAATGGTCACCAGGCTCTCAGAAGAGCTATCCCGTCTTGGTGACGTGATCACTGAGATGGAGGTGAAATGTAAGCAGCCAGCAAGTGAATTTTTACAGGTGAGACTTTACTATCAATGGAGATCTCTCACTTGTTGGAATTGTGTTTGACTGCGAGTTAGGGGCCCCATGTATTGGAGCTCCAGGTAAACCACAAATAATCGAATAAAGGGGCTGCTGCTTTCTTGCCACTGTAAGTGGTCAAGGCTGAGCTCTGCCCTTTTCCTCCCTGGAATTAACTTGCAAAGGGATCCTCTTTTGTTGGCTTTTTGTGCACACAGGATGCTGGTGGGCTGTGAAGATTCTGGGGCGGGCGGGCAGGGGAGTAATTATTGGCATTAGGATGTGGAGGCCCATCAGCTTTCCAGTGTGCTGAGATGCCAATATTGGTCCCTGCGTGTGATGTGGTTGTTTATTTGGAAACAAAGCCACAACGGTGGAGTGGAAGACTCCAGGGTCCAGAAAGTTCCCATCTTTATGGAATGTCACAAAGCCAACATTCCATAAGGCAAGGATGGGAGCCCTTGTTGTGAGCACAGCTTGTCCTCTTTTCCACTGAAGAGGTGGAATGCTAGAGCTCTCACCTGTCGTGGAAAGCTGTGACACCATAGCACTCTGCTGTTGGCAGATGTACTTCCAGGTCCTTCAGCCTGACCTGAAGGCTGTTGAGAAGTTGGGCTGGATGATCCCATTCCTTCAGGTTCATGTCGGGACCTGTGGCTGGCATGCAGACCTCTAGTACGTACCGTCGTGTTCCTGTGGGTTCTCTCTGAAGGGTGTTTGGGTACTTGTAGGACTGAATGAGCTGTTACTCTTAAACACAGCCTCTGGAGGAAGGGTGTTAAGAGTGCATGCTAAAAAGGATGTAGAGGGTGGGGGAGGAGCTTGTGTCTGTGATGATTTTCTGGAGGAAGACAAAAGTGAGTGATGGGGTATTTGTTCCTGCAAAAAAGCCTGCATTTTCTGGGATCTCCTTAGGGTCTTCCTGTGGTCCACTCCATGGCGAACGTCACTTGTAGCTATTCCAAGGCGAACGTCACTTGTAGCTATTCCAAGGATGTGAGGCTGGATTGTTTTTTAAAAATCAAGCAGCACCTCCTGCGCACTTGATCTCCTGCGCACTTGACCTCCTGGCACAGAATCTTTTTTTTTTCCTAATTATTTTGCAACCAGCCCTCTGATCACAAGCAACAAGGACAAGATTTTTAGGTAACCTGTGACATGCAGAGTGTCTCTCTGAGGCCCTACAGGTGATGGTGAAGAGACACAGTGATTCTGGGATGGGGACCTGCGGGGGGGCCCTATGGGGTCTCTCTCCTTCTGGGCCTTGGGAACAAGGCACAGTTTCCTCTGTTGGGCTGAAGCGACGTGCACCCCACGCACCCCTCCTTCGGCAGCGAAGTGGCGTGCCTACCCGGCAGCAAAATTAGTGGGCGGCATGGCAGAGGGAAGGAGCTGGTGGCTCCAGACGAGACACAGCCGGTGGGCAGGCCGGAGGGGGCGCAGAGCCAGCCTGCTCACTGGTAAGAAGGGTGGGAGGCCAGTTTGGGGAGGAGAAGGCTGCTAAAAGCCCTAGGGCAGCCCTTCTCCTCAGAGAAACAGTTGCAGCGCCAGGGAGAGCAGCGTGGCCTGAAGGCTCCCGTGTGTAACCGGAGCATCCCCCACCTCTTGTCTTGGAGCAAACACCAGATGTTCCACCTCTGGGATCAACAGGTAAGAGCCTACGGGTGACCGGGGGGGCAGGCTACTTAACCCCTGCCTTGTAAGCACCAGAGGCTAGAACAAAGCTTCCGCCCTCATGCCTTTGATCGCGCTCGTTGGAGTCCTTCTGCAACCTGAGATGGGGCGCAGAGGCATGCTCCCCGTTCACCTGTGCCACGCTTCTGATGCCAAGCATTGTAGGACTCAGCTCCATTTTTTCTCTCTCTTTCTCTCCCCTAGGACATTAAAAAAAACATGAGCAGGTAGGTGGTTCTTTCTTCTGCTTCTTCTTCCCTGCGAAATGACATCTGGTAGGTTTGGCAGTCCAAAAAAAATGCTGCTGGTCACAGGCCATGAAAAGTTGTATGTTTTCCGTTCTTCTCCTTTTCCCATATCCACTTCATGAGGAGATGTGACTAACCCAGCCTTTTACACCCAGAGACCCACAGAGGCAATTTACCCCACTGTGGAAATAAGTGCAGCCATATATATTCAGTTCCATAAAGCAACACAGATAAAATATGTGATTGAGTGGTAGCAAAGGTGTCTTGGGGGGGGGGGGGTTGGACGCTTTGCTGAATCACTTGATATCCCATCTCTCTGCAGTTGGGATCAGTCTACATCCAGTTGGTCCATGAAGCAGGACATTGAGATGTCTTAATTACTATAGAACATAATCCACCATGAAGGAGGCAAGCCAGCTAAAAATGGTTGGAAGCTGAGGAACATCTTGATGGATTATGCTAGGAGAAATGGGGTTAATTGGTCTCCTCTTCTGTTGCCACTGTGATGCCCAGAATCTGTCACCTGAGTCTTTAATGAAAGTGATTTCTAACGCTCATTGAACCCCGGGGGAGGGGCGGGGTGGTGTGGTACAGAATCTGCTTGTTCCCATCACTAAAATCCCCAAATGCCATAAAGTTGTTGTAGCACACAACAATCACTGGAGAGGAATTCAAAGAATGGTTTCCTGATTTGTATTTAAAACTGGGAATGTTGTTTTTCTCAAAAATGTAGATGTGCAGTAGGGGATTGTGATGTATCTGAAGAAACTCCTAAGCTAGAAGCGAGACTGGATGATTTCTCTCGGAAAACGGTGGCTCTGAAAGAAACATTACAAATATTCCAAGGTATGGGAAAGGCATTTACTGATTTATGGTGTTTGTATCTGGCTCTACGTCTACAAAGGCTGCTAGCGTGGTGTACATGCCAGTTTCAAAGACAAGGCAGTCTGCCACCAGCCTTACTCTCTGAAAGAAATAACAGAAGGAAATGGGAAAGGAAAGTGATGTTCCTCTGTGTGGTTGAATGGCAGGTGGGTTGTCAGCTCAGCGGGCCCGGTTTCTCATCAAGGGAGGTTATATCTTGCTTTCCTTGTCTCTCTTTCTAACCGTATGTCATCAACTCAGTTCTGTCTTACGGCAGCCCTTTTAGGGTTTTCTAGATAGAGTACTCAATAAGTGGTTTATCATTCACTTTTCCTGGAACTGTGCAGCTTGCCCAAGGTCACACAAGCTGGCTATTCTGGGATGCACAGTGGGAAACAGAAATTCTAGCTCCTGGCTCTGTAGCCAGATACCTAACTCACTGAGCTATCCAGCTAGTGAGCTTCAGCTACCAGAGGCCATTTTGCTCAGAGTTGTGGGAAGAACAGCACTGTTTTTAAATTCCATTCCATTGCCCTAAAACAGTCTCCCATAAGCTACTTCCTTCCAGGTACTTTAGGGGACGTGGTGGCGCTGTGGGCTAAACCGCAGAAGCCTGTGCTGCAGGGTCAGAAGACCAAGCAGTTGTAAGATCGAATCCACGCGATGGAGTGAGCGCCCGTCGGTTGTCCCAGCTCCTGCCAACCTAGCGGGTCGAAAGCATGCAAATGCGAGTAGATTAATAGGGACCACCTCGGTGGGAAGGTAACAGCGTTCCGTGTCTAAGTCGCACTGGCCATGTGACCATGGAAGATTGTCTTCCGACAAAACGCTGGCTCTATGGCTTGGAAACGGGGATGAGCACCGCCCCCTAGAGTCGAACACGACTGGACAAAAATTGTCAAGGGGAACCTTTACCTTTACCTTTTTGCAGATACTTTGGATTGTCAACTCTTGCTAGCATAGGCTAGTAACGGGGGACGGCGGAAGTTGTTGCTCAAAACATCTGGATTGTACCCTTCTGCAGAAGGCTGTTTAAAACGATTTGTAATCAGTTGCAGTCGTTCTTCTGTAGAAAAGAATGAGGCTCTAGTTGTAGTGGTCAGTTGGGTAGCAAAGTCACTTGGCAAATTATGGAATAGGTTATTTTTCTTCTGTGGACTTCTTTTAAAATTAAAACATCCTTTATAATATATGTTTTAAAATCTAACTTTCTTTGTCTAGATAATTTAGTGACTGCTGTTGAGAAAGGAGAGGTTATGAGAACACGGAATGATAAAGGTGGGTGTTCATAGTGGTTTTTTAGAATTTGTAAAATACCTCTTCTCTTGTTTCATTTCTGATCAGAGTTTTTAAAAACATTCAAATCAAGGTAACCAGAGTTTTGTGAAGGGAGGAGAAGCCCTTGAATGTATTACTGTATTAAGCAACAAGGATGTGCCATTCAGATGCTGGCAGTTCAGGCTGCAGACCCATACCTAGGAACACTTATATTTTGCTCACCTAGAGAAGTTCTTTCTCTCAAAGACTCGATTCCTGTTTCAGGCCTACTTCCTGATGTTAATGTTCTAAAAGGAAGGTGTTGCAGTGCTTCTTGGGGGTTATAATCTTGCTGACTTTTAGGGTTTTTTAGATAGGGTCTATAAACGATTTGTTTTTAAGCCAATCGTTCTCTGCATGTGTTTATTTGCAGTGCAATCTTGCACCTGTTGATTCTGTCATAGAACTCAATGATAGGAGCTTGGTATCAATTGGGCTTCAAAGAAGGGCAGCATTTAAACCGTAAATTCAAAAATTAGGTGCAGAGAGGATGCATGTCTTGAATAATTTGATGCTACTTTATATGTAGCCTGTTTTCTCTAATTCTTAGATGGCTTGGTATTCTCAGGTCAGTTAAAACTTTTTAGCTGGTCCTGCAGCTGTGTTGCTTGTGGTCCACAGTAGAGCTGGGGATATTCGTATTTGTAGATAAATAGGAATATCCCCATCCAAGTTGTATCTAATGCAGGTCTGGCCCTTGGAACCGGCCTGTCCACCGCCAGCATCCTACTCTTCCCACCAATTATGGAAGTAGTTCCACCATCTCCAATTGAGCTGGCCACTCCAGACAGGGGGATGGGAGGACAGGTCTCCCCACATGGCTGATGAGTGGCCAGCTGAGCCAGGAGACGGTGGGGCTACTTCCACGATTGGCGGGAAGAGCAGGATGCTGGCAGTGCAGTGGTGCATGAGTGGGTGGGCCAGTTCTGAGGGCTGGACCTGCATTAGGTACACCTGGGGTGGGAATATTTATCAGGTTCACAGCACATGGTTAAAGTATTTGACTGAGTTTAATACCATTGGACTCCATCTCTTCTGATTACTTGGAATCAGCTTAGGTGGTATCAGACTCTTGATCTCTAAAGAACATGTGGCTCTCCAGAGGTTGTTTGTTGAACTACAACTAAGTTCGGGGGTGCAATTTTCTGTCTGTCTGCCTGTCTATTGTAACTCCAATGATATCCAAGCAGAATGTGTGGGCACACACCTCCATTTCACTCATCTGAAACAGGCCTCTTTTCTAGCCTGTCTCAGGCCTACTTCCTGTTTTTCTTTTTAAAAAAAGGAAGTGATTCCATTGTTTCCTGGGAGGCCCAGGTAGGAGCTATAGGCTCACTACTCAAAAGATCTTCCTCAAATGACTGGGCTTCCCAGGACGCACTGCAATAGTTCCATTTTGACATGGGCAGTAAACTAGAGACAACATGGAAGAGAGGCCTGTTTCAGGTGAGCATAATGTAGTTGTCTGTACATGGGCAGGAACTCCCAGCATTCTAGCTTGGGAATTTTTGGAGAATTCTGAAAGTTACAGTCCACAAAAAGAGGCACGCCACCCAGCACAGCCATTGCTGAAGAATGTTGGTTGCTTCCAGTCTCATAATATCTGTTGGACCACCGGTTTCCTTATCTGTGATATAACTAGTCATCATAATCACTCTGTGCAGTTTTCTCAAGATTTCTCTCATGTCTTTCCTCATCCTGCTAACCAAGATCCTTATAACTAGTTATTTTAAGGATTTTCTGATTCAGTGCAAAATTATGCAATGATCCAATGAGGTTCCTGTGATTTTTGTGCCTTCAGAGGGAGTGGACTTTGATCCTTGAAAGCTTACACTAAAAAGAAATTTGTTAGTCTATGACATTTTTCTTTTCATTTTGCCAACATGCTGAAACACGACTGCTTCTTTAGGTATTGCATTCAAAACACTGTTAATACAATTTAGATTTCCAGGAGAGTCGATCACTTGAAATATTGCACCACTCACTATTTTACCTGTGATGTTTGGAGCATTGTTTCTGAAAACATAGCTAATAATCTGCAATAGAGATGCAGAAAATAGAGTTGTGTAAGTCTAGGGGAAAAAGAGAGCTGAGGTGGGGGAATTAAGCTTTTGAGAGATATAGAAACAGAACCCATTTCTCTTTTCATCAAACTAAACCGGTTTCTCTTCTGCCTGCTGCAGATGTGGCTTTCAGTCCGGACCTGTCAGGTGCTGTTACGACATTGGACCAAAGAAGCACAGGATGTGAAGAGTCCCAGCAGAGGCTGCCTGCCTTGCAATATGTCCCTGACACACCCAAACGATTGGATTCCAAGGCTTTAGTTCTGGGCTGTGATGGCTTTACTTCTGGGAGATACTTTTGGGAGCTGGAAGTGGGTGATGGAGAATTCTGGGCCGTGGGGGTCACCCGGGATCCTTCAAAGAAGAAGGGAGTGATGGACTTCAGCCCAGAGGAAGGGATCTGGGCTGTGGGTCTGTGGAAGGGGCAACACTGGGCTCTCACCTCCCCAGTGACTGCCTTGTCCCTGAGCAAAAGCCCAAAGCACATCCGAGTGTCTCTGGACTACGTGGGGGAGCGGGTGACATTTAGTGACGCAGACACAGATGACCTCATCTTTACTTTCCCACCGGCTTCTTTCAATGGGCCTCGTACCCATCCCTTGCTATGGGTAGTAGGGTTCCCAGCTCAGACAGTGTTTCTCAGGCGCATGGGGGTGAAATATCCCACAGCGGTCCATGAAATGGATGTTTTGAGTCCGTGATTATAAGATCTTTCCAGAGGCTCAGGGCCAAAATTTTAGTCCACTCCTTCACCGGAGCAGAGAAATCTGCTAATTGTAAGAAAGCAGAACCTTGGAGATTGCCTTATTTGCTGGAGAATCTGAGCAAAAGGCAGATGTTTTCTTTTTGCACCAAGGTTTTATGATATTCCCCTCAGAAAATGCAGGAATTGGAAAGAATAGATTGTATAGGCCTTGAAAAATAGCATCACTGTTAGGACATCCTTGTTTATATGACAGATCAACTTCTGATAAGTTTGAACATGTTGAGCTGAGGAAATGTTAAACTTTTAGCTATTAAATTTTGGACTTTTCTCTATTTTGTATTAGTTCACATTTAATGTTTTATGATTTCCTTTTTTTTTAAGAGAATGCATGCCTTTTAGCTTTCATACCTACCAGCAAATGTTCCAGTCGATGGAATGGCTTCAATTAACACCTGATGGCGAAAGAAGTTTATTGTAACATAGCTTCGTCTGTGGGCGTTCTTAACACTCATGTGATTATCCTTGATCATATTTGTGTCTAAATCTTACGAATGTGGTAGTTTTGATAGAGGATAATTTTTTTGCCCACTTGATCTCTTCTAGTCTAGCTCGTGCTGAGCTTGGTCTGGAGGTGAACTGGACAGATATAATACCAGAATATTAAACTGGGTGTTCCGATTTTCTTGAACATAAAATATACAACATACTACTTGGATAGCAATTAAGATGGCTACGTAATGTTAAAAGAAAGTGTGTCGTGTTCAATACATTTCACTGTCTGCTCTTGGAGTGTTTCAGTTTCTTTTTCTCACATGTCTTTTCCTTTGCACTTGTGCTGTGGCAATTGGCTGTACTTAATATGTTTTGGGATGCTGGCTCATATTCCCTCTAAAAAAATGGCATGCTCTTTTTATACTATCTTTTGCAGAAAAATAACTAGCACATGCTTTATTAATTAATTAAAGGGAGAGTGTTATTAAATGGTCCCAAATAGTTTAATGTATATAGATGACAATAACTTAACAAGCTGCCATTTCAGTCGCTGTAGCAGGACAAGTTCCAAGCAAGAGGTGAACATGAGGGTGAAAGACATACCACTACCTTGTCTCTTGAGTCTTTATTCTACCTTCTACACTGTTTTTTCAAGCAGCAGGAGAGTCTTATTTAAATACAAGGATGTTTAATACAGCCACCAAACCCTCCACCTGATTATCTTCTTTTGGCAAACGTTTAAGATGTAATTCCCCAGCTTGGCAGCCTCCAGATGTGGATTATAGCTCTTACAGTCCCAAGCAGTATGTGCTGATTAGGAGGGAGGTGGAGGTGGAAAGTACCTTAAAAACAATATCCATCCTGGTTTCCCAAGCACTACAAGAGTTGTGTGGGGAGAAGGGAGGCATCTGGCCCCGGATTTTCTCTTTCTGGAGGGCTTTTTCCCTTCCATTCATGGATCTTGCCAGTGACATACAGCATTAAATTCTCCATTCAGCGGTGAGAGGAACATCCTCTGTTTGGGACAGCAGTGGGGTAGAGGCTTTTGCCGATTCCTTGATCTTTGCAACATCTTGTTCCTAGTTACCAGTCTGTCTGGGCCAGTAAATTGCTCACTTGAGGGATTTATGCACAGTTGTCTGTTCTGACTGAAATGTCTTCCTCTGGATCCTGCTACCAATTTGCTGCTGCTGAACAGTGAAATGCTATGTGTTTAAAGCACAGATTGCCTTGGGGACTATTTGGAACAGATGAGTACAAAAGAAGAAAGGTGACGGTAACTTTGAGCCCCCCAACTCTTCCTGTTGCTCCTTTTGAATAGGGTTCTTGGTTTGGAAAGGAGAATTGCGGATCATTCTATTAGTCTGCCAAAGCAGATGGGTAAGTTGGATTCTGGTGTTGCTCAAAACATCTCTGGGCCTTTGTGACAGATGTAAATGCATCAAGAGGTAGATATAGTTGCATAGGAGTACTATGGAAAAGGTGTTCTGATAGTAAAATGTTGGCAACCACTGCTGTCAGACCATGAACGTTGAATACAACTACAACCCATTAACTGATTCCATCCATCTATATTACCCAAAAGACTTGTATAACTATTTGTTATGGCAAGTGATGTTAATGGTCATACGTATCCCTCCATGGGGGATGAAATACCCAACAGCAGTCTATGAAATTGATATTTTGATTCCATGATTATAACTCCTTTCCAAAGGCTTAGTGGAAGAAGCTCTGTGGTAGTGGTCACGGTCTTGGTGGATGGTCACCACTTTATGTTTAAAAATGCCACAAAATGATCACAGGAAATACACTGTGACCAATTCCGGATAAAGCTGTACAAAATAGTTCAGCTTGATGATCTTGTGCTTCGCTTATCCAGGTAGCGAAGTAAGTTCTTGTGGCCTTCACCTTAGCTAAATAAATGGTCCATACAATTTTTGCAGCTTTTAGATTAGATTCCGTCACGACCCACCTCCAGATGCTCACCAGCTTCCTATTACTTTTAATCACCCACAGTTGTTGATTGTACAGTACCAAGAGGCTGGGTGGACTCAGAAATGGAGGGGGTGTTTGGGTGCGATTGTGTCCACAGCCATGGTACCAGCCTCATACCATCCATCGACCAGAGTTTCAATAGGAGTGCCAACCAGATCCGCTGGTATCCCACATGTAGCTTGGAAACCAACTGGATTCGCTAGCCTCAATGGGCAGACCATCTTAATAGGTCCCTGGGGGGGGGTGTTCTACTGAGAGACTGTGTTTTATCAAACATGCTTGCCAACAGACTTTGTCCACCACTGGGTTTTATATTTGGGAAGAGACATGGAGACACAGCTTGTCTGCTTGGAACAATAAAGGTTCCCCTTGACATTTAATCCAGTTGTGTCCAACTCGGGGGCAGAGCTCATCCCCGTTTCCAAGCCATGGAGCCAGCGTTTGAAGACAGTTTCCGTGGTCATGTGGCCAGCGTGACTAGACACGGAATGCCATTACCTACCCACCGTGGTGGTACCTATTTATCTACCCACATTTTTACATGCTTTTGAACTGCTAGGAGCTGGGACAAGCGACGAGAGCTAGCTCCATCACGTGGATTCAAACTACTGATATTTCGACCTTGCAGCCCAGAGGCTTTGCGGTTTAACCTGCAGCGCTACCACGTCCCTTGGAACAATGAGAGGCAAGGAAGGACTTGCCTGGTCCTCCACTCCCCACTTGCTCGCCCACCTAATCTCCCCTTTGCCTGCCTGGTCATCTTCCCACTCACTCAACTGCCCAATTATTCTTCCGCCCCCTCAATCATTCAGCTCCTGCCTGCCTGGTTGCCTCCATGTTGCCCATCCCCCTTGCCCTCTTCTATCCCGATCACTCCCCCATGTGTCTGATCACCCTTTCTACTACCCATGCCCACTCACTCACCCACTCCTCTGTCACGTGTACCCATGCTCTCACCCCTTGCCTTGGTTTCCTTTCTTCTGTCTTGGTGGCCTGTGGTCATGTCCGTTGCTACCTCGATGGAGTTGGTTGTTGTTTAGTCATTAAGTCGTGTCCAACTCTTTGTGACCCCATGGACCAGAGCACACCAGGCCCTCCTGTCTTCAACTGTCTCCCGAAGTTATGTCAAATTCAAGTTAGTAGCTTCGATGACATTGTCCAACCATCTCGTCCTCTGTAGTCCCCTTCTCCTCATGTCCTCACACTTTCATCTTCAGGATCTGTCCTTCCAGTGAGCACTCAGGCTCGATTTCCTTCAAAATGGATAGGTTTGTTCTCTCTGCAGTCCAAAGGACTCTCAAGAGTTGCCTCCAGCACCACAATTCAAAAGCATCAAAAGAGGGGACATGGACATTTTTAATTCATTCATCTTTCCCAATAAAGGGACTCAAGGTAGTTTACTAAACATTTAACATCTATATGAGGCCGCTGGGGGGGATCATCAGGGGGTGTGGAGCCCTGTGCCATCAATATGCAGATGACACGCAGCTCTACATCTCCTTTTCTCCAACTACAGGAGATGCCGTTCTGTCCCTTCAGCGCTGCCTGGAGACCGTTCGGGAATGGATGCAGGAGAATGGGCTGAGGCTGAACCCGGACAAGACGGAGGTACTGAGGGTGGGCGCTCCCACAGTTGGGGATTTGGGAAACTCCCTCGAGTGACCCTGCCCGCCAGGGATGTGGTTCGCAGCTTGGGGATTCATCTGGACCCAGCGCTCACTATGGAAACCCAGGTGGCGTCTGTGGTCCGCACCGCATTTTTCAATCTTCGGTGGGTAGCCCAGCTGCGACCCTACTTAGATGTGGGGGCTCTCAACACTTTGGTACATGCGCTTGTAATCTCAAGATTAGACCACTGCAATGCGCTCTACGTGGGGCTACCTTTGAGGCTGCTGCGGAAACTACAGGTGGTGCAGAATGCTGCGGCCAGATTACTCAGTGGAGTGAGAAGATACCAACATATCTCGCCCACTCTGGCCGCATTGCATTGGCTGCCCATCCGATTCCGCATCGACTTCAAAGTGTTGATGCTTACTTACAAAGCCCTAAACGGTTTAGGACCTCAATATTTGGTGGAACGCCTTCTCCCACCTAGATCTACCCGTGTCACCCGTGCGAGCCAGGAGGTGAGGCTGAGGAGCCTGA